TGTTTTCTGATGGTCTTAGGTGACCCCTCTGACATCCCCTCGTGACCCCTCCAGGGGTCCCGACCCCCAGGTTGAAAATTTATTTATTTATTTATTTCATTTACTTATACCCCGCCCTTCTCACCCCGGGGGGGACTCAGGGCGGCTTACAGAGGAGGCACAATTAAATGCCTAAAACAATTGACAGTAATACAAAATACAAAAAGCAGTTCAACAATTAGAATTAAAACATCAGTGCATAATAAAATATTAAAACAATCTCATGCTCGGGTTCAGAGTCCATATATCCATTCCTTTCCATTTGTCCTTGTCTGTGGTCAGATCCTTAATTTAACTGCCAGCGTGTCCAAAGGCTTGTCTAGAGGCATTCTCTCCTGACGTTTCACCTGCATCTATGGCAAGCATCCTCAGAGGTAGTGAGGTCTAATCACCTCTCAACAAAAGTTTGCTCCAGGCACTGCCAGGCCATCAAATGCTAATCAAGGTGGTCAGTTGAAACGTTCACACCTAGCTCCAGCAGACAAGAGTCCTTTGTCCCACCCTGGTCATTCCACAGATATATAAAACCCTTTTCCTAGTTCCAACAGACCTCACTACCTCTGAGGATGCTTGCCATAGATGCAGGCAAAACGTCAGGAGAGAATGCCTCTAGACCAGAGGTCCTCAAACTTTTTAAACAGAGGGCCAAGTCGCAGTCCCTCAAACTGTTGGAGGGCCGGATTATAACTTGAAAAAACAAACAAACATGAATTCCTATGCACACTTATCTTAGGACATATCTTATTTGTAGGGCAAAATCACTTTAAAACAATACAATAATTAAAATGAAGAACAATTTTAACAAATATAAGCTTATTAGTATTTCAATGGGGAGTGTGGGCCTGCTTTCGGCTGATGAGATAGGATTGCTGTTGTTGTGTGCTTTCCAATCTTTTCAGACTTAGGTTGATCCTGAGCGAGGGCCGGGTAAATGACCTTGGAGGGCCGCATCCAGCCCCCGGGCCTTAGTTTGAGGACCCCTGCTCTAGACCATGGCCATATAGCTCCAAAAAACCTACAACAACCCATAGTATTTTCTGTTGGTTGTGGAGGTTCTGTGTGGAAAGTCTGGTCCAATTCTATCAATGGGGTTCAGAATGCTATTTCATTGTGGGTGAACTATAAATCCCAACAATTACAACTCCCAAATGGCAAGGTCTGTTTTCTCCAAACTCTACCAGTGTTCACATTTGGGCATATTGAGTATTTGTGCCAAGTTTGATCCAGATCCATCATTGCTTGACTCCACAGTGTTCTCTGGATGTAGGTGAACTACAAATCCAAAAATTCAGGGTCAGTGTCCACTAGACCTTCCCAGTATTTTCTCTTGGCCATGGGAATTCTGAGTGCCAAGTTTGATTCAATTCCATTATTGGTGGAGTTCAGAAGGCTCTTTGATTTTAGGTGAACTATAAATCCCAGCAACTCCAGCATTACCAAATGACAAAATCAATCACCCCCAACCTCACCAATATTCAAATTTGGGCGTATCGGGTATTTGTGCCAAATTTGGTCCAGTGACTAAAAATACATCTTGCCTATCAGATATTTACATTACGATTCATAATAGTAGCAAAATTACAGTTGTGAAGTAGCAACGAAAATAATGTTATGGTTGGGGGTCACCACAAAATGAGGACCTGTACTAAGGGATCACGGCATTAGGAAGGTTGAGAACCACTGTTGTAGGTTCTTTGGGCTGTATGGCCATGTTCTAGAGGCATTCTCTCCTGACATTTCGCCTGCATGTGTGGCAGGCATTCTCAGAGTGTGTGAGGACAAGGCGCAAAATGAACACCCAAGCCCTCCAGACGAGCCCTTCTCCAAACAGCACTCAAGGAGCATCTACCCACAGAACACCCCAAAAATGTTGAGGAACATTGGACCAAACCGAAGACCTCCATCATCCAAGCCTGCGAAGAAACTATTGGATATCAAACCAAGAAACATCAAGATTGGTTTGACGAAAATGACAAGATCCCACAGCTTATTGACAAGAAAAGGAAAGCCTTCCAAACATGGCAGAGAGACATCAACTGTGCTGCTAAGAAAAAGATCTACGCCAGCACAAAAGCTGAGGTCCAAAGAAGACCTCAGACAAGAGAACTCAAGAACATCTGGTGGACAAAGAAGGCTGAAGAAATCCAACACCTGGCAGATACCCATGATGCTCAGGAGATTCCATCTGAACATGAGGAAGAACTTCCTGACTGTGAGAGCCGTTCAGCAGTGGAACTCTCTGCCCCGGAGTGTGGTGGAGGCTCCTTCTTTGGAAGCTTCGAAACGGAGGCTCGATGGCCATCTGTCAGGGGTGATTTGAATGCAATATTCCTGCTTCTTGGCAGAATGGGGTTGGACTGGATGACCCAGGAGGCCTCTTCCAACTCTAGGATTCTAGGATTCTATTATTTTTCAAAGCCACAAAGGTCATCTATGGACCAAGAAACCATGGCATACAGCCTCTACGCTCATCAGATGGAATCAAACTCCTGAAAGACCAAAAATCAATTGCACTACGTTGGAAAGAACACTACCAAAGCCTCCTGATCCGCAGCTCCAATGTGGCCGAAGAGGTCCTCTCACAAATCCCGCAACAACAAACCAGGGATGAGCTTGCAGCACTGCCTAGTCTGGAAGAAGTCAGCAATGCCATCAGCCAACAAAAAAATAACAAAGCCAGCGGACCTGATGGGATCCCCTTCTAGAACATGGCCATACAGCCTGAAAAAAATAGTAATAATAATAATAAACTTTGTATTGTTGAAGGCTTTCACGGCTGGAATCACTAGGTTCTTGTGGGTTTTTTCGGGCTATAGAGCCATGTTCTAGAGGCATTTCTCCTGACGTTTCGCCTGCATCTATGGCAAGCATCCTCCGAGGTTGAGAAGGTCTGTTGGAAAACTTATAATAAACTTTATTTATAATTCGCCACCAACTCTCCAAAGGGGACTTGGGGCGGCTAAGCCCAAAAAATACAACATAATTAGACACAAAATAATAGGGAAATACATCAGAACAAAATATACAAAATAACAAACAAAATAAACAATACAAAACGAAAAATAAAATCAAAAACCTACAACAACCCAGTACTAGAGATGTCGTTTCCTTGGTCTCAAAAGGGCTGCAAGGATTTCCTTTAAGTCTCTTTAGCAATACTTTTAGTAAGGTAAAGGTTTTCCCCTGACATTAAGTCCAGTCGTGTCCGACTTGTGCTCATCTCCCATTTCCAAGCCGAAGAGCCGGCGTTGTCCGTAGACACCTCCAAGGTCATGTGGCCATGGGCATGACTGCATAGAGCGCCGTTACTTTCCTGCCGGAGCGGTATCTATTGATCTACTCACATTTGCATGTTTTCCAACTGCTAGGTTGGCAGAAGCTGGGGCTAACAACAGGAACTAATAATAATAATAGGGTAAAGATTTTCCATTCTCTATATGGAAAGAAAAAGTGCGCTATAAATAATAATTGCTATATAAATAAATACTAATAACGCTAATAATAATAGGTAAAGGTTTTCCCCTGACATTAAGTCCAGTTGTGTCCGACTCTGGGATTGGCGCTCATCTCCATTTCTAAGCCAAAGAGCTGGTGTTGTCTGTAGGCACCTCCAAGGTCATGACTGCATGGAGCGCCGTTACCTTCCCGCCGGAGCGGTACCTATTGATCTACTCACATTTGCATGTTTTTGAACTGCTAGGTTGGCAGAAGCTGGGGCTAACAGGAGCTAATAATAATAATAGGGTAAAGGTTTTCCATTCTCCATATGGAAAGAAATAATAATAATAATAATAATAATAATAATAATAATAATAATAATATAACTACTAATAATAATGCTAATGCTGGGTTGTTGTAGGTTTTTTCAGGCTATATGGCCATGTTCTATAGGCATTTCTCCTGGATGCTTGCCATAGATGCGGGCGAAACGTCAGGAGAAAATGCCTCTAGAACATGGCCATATAGCCCGAAAAAAACCTACAAACAACCCAGTGATTCCGGCCATGAAAGCCTTTGACAATACAATGCTAATGCTAATAATAATAGGTAAAGTTTTTCTCCTGACATTAAGTCCAATTGTGTCCAACTCTGGGGTTGGTGCTCATCTCCATTTCTAAGTCGAAGAGCCGGCGTTGTCCATAGACACCTCCAAGGTCATGTGGCTGGCATGACTGCATGGAGTGCCATTACCTTCCCGCCGGAGCAGTACCTATTGATCTACTCACATTTGCATGTTTTCAAACTGCTAGGTTGGCAGGAGCTGGGGCTAACAACAGGAGCTAATAATAGGGTAAAGGTTTTCTATTCTCCAGATGGAAAGAAAAAGTGTTATAAATAAATAATATTTGCTTTATAAATAATAATAATAATAATAATAATAATAATAATAGGTAAGGGTTGTCCCCTGACATTACGTCCAGTCGTGTCCAACTCTGGGGTTGGTGATCATCTCCATTTCTAAACTGAAGAGCTGGCGTTGTCCATAGACACCTCCTAGGTCATGTGGCTAATGGCATGACTGCATGGAGTGCTGTTACCTTCCCGCCGGAGCAGTACCTATTGATCTACTCACATTTGCATATTTTCAAACTGCTAGGTTGGCAGAAGCTGGGGCTGACAGCAGAAGTTCATGCCGCTCCACGTATTTGAACTTGCGACCTTAAGGTCAACCAGCTCAGTAGTGCACCAGGGGGTTCCTTGAGTAAACAACGGTGTTTTGTCTTATTTACTGCATTCTGTTTTATACAGGCCTGGACAAACTCTCCAGATGTTTTGGACTTCAACTCCCACAATTCCTAATAGGGGGGTTGAAGTCCAAAGCACCTAGAAGGCCGAAGTTTGCCCAGGCCTGTTGAATTAATGCAGTTTGACCACTTGTGGTGGGACAAGTCTTTGGGGAGATCCCAGACAACCTTCACTGCAACAGAGACCACTCACTGCTCACCATTCAGTATTGTTTTTGTTTTATTTTTGAGGGGGGAAAGGAAGCAGAATGGAGTTGGGTTGCTTCAGCCCTGGCCCCAGAAGAAGGAGAACACCAGCCCTGCCAGGATGCCCGAAAGGTGGCCCGTGAGGGAACTCCTGGAACGAAACACAGACAGACAGACGGACAGACAGACAGACAGACAGAGAAAGAAAGAAAGAAAGAAAGAAAGAGAAAGAAAAAGAAAGAAAGAAAGAAAGAAAGAAAGAAAGAAAGAAAGAAAGAAAGAAAGAAAGAAAGAAAGAAAGGTAGCAGGTTGCATCACATTTCTTCTTGTTACTCTGGTTTCATTCCAATCCTGGACTGCAACACCCAGCATTCCTCACCGAGGATGATGGGAACTGCAGTCCAACAACATAAGGAAGCCTGCATTCTATTGTGATTCTGACTTCATTTGAACCTTGGACTGCAACACCCAGCATTCCTCAGTGGGGCTGGAGAGGGCTTCTATGGGTGCTTGGGTTGCAAAAAGACCACTAAATGGGTCTGCAAGTGAGGTTTGAAGTCGCTCAAGGAGCCAAGATGTCACCAAGGAGGCTGTCCAGACCTTGAACCGGTGCTTGGCTGCTGTGTCGGACTGGATGAGAGCTAACACATTGAAATTGAATCCAGACAAGACAGCGGTCCTACTGGTCAGTCGTAAGGTCGAACAGGGCATAGGGTGACAGCCTGTGCTGGACAGGGTCACACTCCCCCTGAAGACGCAGGTTCGCAGCTTGGGAGTGATCCTGGACTCATCGCTGAGCCTGGAACCCCAGGTCTCGGCGGTGGCCGGGAGAGCTTTTGCACAATTAAAACTTGTGCGCCAGCTGCGTCCGTACCTTGGAAAGTCTGATCTGGCCACGGTGGTCCACGCTCTTGTTACATCCCGAATAGATTACTGCAACACACTCTACGTGGGTTTGCCCTTGAAGACTGTTCGGAAACTTCAACTGGTCCAGTGAGCGGCAGCCAGATTGATCACCAGAGTGTCATACAGGGAGCACACCACCCCCCTGCTGTGTCAGCTCCACTGGCTGCCGGTTCAGTTCCGAGCACAATTCAAGGTGCTGGTTTTGACCTACAAAACCCTGTACGGTTCCGGTCCAGCGTATCTGTCTGAACGTTTCTCCCTCTACGTCCCACCCCGGAGTTTGAGATCATCTGGGGAGGCCCTTCTCTCGACCCCACCGCTATCACAAGTGAGGTTGGTGAGGATGATGAGCAGGGCCTTCTCGGTGGTGGCCCCTCACCTGTGGAACTCACTCCCGGGGGAAATTAGGTCATCAACATCCCTCCTCTCCTTCAGGAGGAAAGTAAAGACGTGGTTGTTGTACCAGGCCTTTGGGCAATCTGACAACTAGATAAGGACAAGCAGACGACTAGGACTGACAAAGTGAAATTGGAAATTGGACTATGAGATGGCGAACGCTGACCGTTAATTAGGTGTAAGGGGTTTTTATTGGTTTTATTGTTGTAATGCAGAAACTGTTGCTAACTGTTAATTGCTGCTATGTTGTTTTATACTACTGTTATGTGATGCCGGCATCGAATTGTGCCTTTGTACGCCACCCTGAGTCCCCTTCGAGGTGAGAAGGGCGGGGTAGAAGTAACCGAAACAAACAAACAAACAAATAAATAAATAATATAGTATAGTATATTGTACATAGATATGATATTTATAATATTATAATGTAATGCAATATAATAATAACATGATATTATAATTATATATTTATATTACATGTAATATTACTAATAATATTACAATATAGTGGTATAGTACAATATAGTAATATTTAATGCTGATATTGTACTATGCTAATATTATATATATATATATATATATATATATATATATATATATATTGTAAGCCACTGGGTCCCCTTCAGGGTGAGAAAGGCGGCATGTAAATGTCGTAAATAAATAAATAAATAATTTTAATATGGTAATCTTCAGTAAAAAAAAAGATGGAATAATGAAGATGGAAGGCCTCATGACAGCTGGATCGGTACCGTCAAGAAAACCAATGTTGCAGAACCTGAAAAGGTCAAATGGGTGGCCAGAGGGGGTCTCTCATTCATAGAGTCACCCTGAGTTGAAGCACAATTGACCGCAAGGATCAACAACAAAGGATAGACTGCCTGGGAGACAATGGAGGCTCTGTCTTTGCAGTTTTCCAAACAGAGGCTGGATGGACCTCTGTTGGGAGGGATTGGCTTGTGCATTCCTGCCTGGCAGGAGGAGGTTGGACTGGATGGCCTTTGGGAGTCTCTTCCAACTCTAGAATCCTATCAACATCCTCGTGATTATTATAATTCAGAGGCTAGATGGCCATCTGTTGGGAAGGATTGGGTGGTGCCTTCCTGTCTGGCAGAAGGGGGTTGGACTGGATGGCCTTTGGGAGGCCCTTCCAACTTCAGGAATTCTATTATCATTATTATTATTATTATTATTATTATTATTATTATTATTATTATTATTTCAGAGTGAATGGATGAATGGATAGTGTCTCCCTGCCTGGCAGAAGGAGGTTGGACTGGATGGCCTTTGGGATCCCTTCCAACTCCAGGATTATTATTATTATTATTATTATTATTATTATTATTATTATTATTATTAATTCAGAGGGTAGATGGCCATCTGTCTGGAAGGATTGGGTGGTGCCTCCCTGCTTGGCAGAAAAAGGTTGGACTGGATGCCCTTTGGGGTCCCTTCCAACTCCAGGAGTTATTATTATTATTATTATTATTATTATTATTATTATTATTTCAGAGTGAATGGATGAATGGATAGTGTCTCCCTGCCTGGCAGAAAAAGGTTGGACTGGATGCCCTTTGGGGTCCCTTCCAACTCCAGGATTTATTATTATTATTATTATTATTATTATTATTATTATTATTATTAATTCAGAGGCTGGAGGGCTGTCTGTTGGCAGAAGGGAGTCGGACTGGATGACCTTTGGGAGTCTCTTCCAACTCTATAATCCTATCATCATCATTATTGTAATTCAGAGGCTAGATGGCCATCTGTTGGGAGGGATTGGGTGGTGTCTTCCTTCCTGGCAGAAGGAGGTTGGACTGGATGGCCAACTCTATAAGTCTATGATGCTAAGGAATGGAGGATGGTGCGGATGCTGTAGTCAGAAGGCCATACAAGGAAGGGGCCTGCCCTTGCCTCACCTGAGCCTTTCCTCCCTCACCTGTCCCCCCTTTCCCAATGCACTCACCTGGGGTGGACTAAGGCCAGGGCCAGGCATTCAAGGAGGCAGATCCACCTGGTCGTCGGGATGAAGCCGCTGGACATGGCTGCCACTGGGACGGGGTCTCCTAGCTGGCCCATGGCTTCCAAGGAGAAGAGGACCCCTAAGGAAGAAGAGAGAAGAATGGAGGAGAAAACACACAGAGGAAGGATGGGGGGCCCCAGGTGAAAGGGGTCAAGGAGTCAAGTGGACCACCAGCTGGGCAGGAGTCACGCGTGATGCAGCGGCTAAAAAGGCCAATGTGATTCCAGGCTGCATCAATAAGAAGACAGTGCCTTCCTGCCTGGCAGAAGGAGGTTGGACTGGATGACCTTGGGGGGTCCCTTCCAAAACTAGGATTCTATTATTATTATTTTACTGACACAAAAGCACAGTCTGTCACAACAAACGAGATCTCTCTGCTGCATTTCGTATCACAAAATTACAAGTCGAACCCTTCCCAAGCATCTAGGACTGTATGATGCATATTATTATTATTATTATTATTATTATTATTATTATTATTATTATTATTATTAATCAGGCATGGGTCAATTTTGGCCCTCACTCCAGGTGTTTTGGACTCAACTAATGTGGGTATGCAGATGATCCCTTGGTTGACTTAAGTGTCCAGTTCCAAGAGGACAAAGGCATGGCCCAACTTCGGCCCTTCCTCCAGGTGTTTTGGACTCCAACTCCCATAACATGGGTATGCAGATGATCCCTAAATTGGCTTGAGTGTCCACTTCCAAGAGGACAAAGGCATGGGCCAACTTTGGCCCTTCCTCCAGGTGTTTTGGACTCTGACTCCCACAATATGGGGATGCAGATGATCCCGTGGTTGAGTTGAGTGTCCAGTTCCAAGAGGGCAAAGCCATAGGCCAACTTGGGCTCTCCCTCCTGATGTTTTGGACTCCCAACTCCCACAACATGGCTATGCAGATGATCCCTTGATTGACTTAAGTGTCCAGTTACAAGAGGACAAAGGCATGGGTCAACTTCGGCCCTTCCTCCAGGTGTTTTGGACTCCGACTCCCACAACGTGGGTATGCAGATGATCCCTAAATTGATTTGAGTGTCCAGTTCCAAGAGGACAAAGACATAGGCCAACTTGGGCTCTCCCTCCTGATGTTTTGGACTCTGACTCCCACAACGTGGGTATGCAGATGACCCCTTGGTTGACTTAAGTGTCCACTTCCAAAAGGGCAAAGCTATGGGTCAACTTGGGCCCTCCCTCCAGGTGTTTTGGACTCCAACTCCCATAACGTGGGTATGCAGATGATCCCTAAATTGGCTTGAGTGTCCAGTTCCAAGAGGACAAAGCCATGGGTCAACTTGGGCCCTCCCTCCAGGTGTTTTGGACTCCAACTCCCATAACGTGGGTATGCAGATGATCCCTAAATTGGCTTGAGTGTCCAGTTCCAAGAGGACAAAGCCATGGGTCAACTTGGGCCCTCCCTCCAGGTGTTTTGGACTCCAACTCCCATAACGTGGGTATGCAGATGATCCCTAAATTGGCTTGAGTGTCCAGTTCCAAGAGGACAAAGCCATGGGTCAACTTGGGCCCTCCCTCCAGGTGTTTTGGACTCCAACTCCCATAACGTGGGTATGCAGATGATCCCTAAATTGGCTTGAGTGTCCAGTTCCAAGAGGACAAAGCCATGGGTCAACTTGGGCCCTCCCTCCAGGTGTTTTGGACTCCAACTCCCATAACGTGGGTATGCAGATGATCCCTAAATTGGCTTGAGTGTCCAGTTCCAAGAGGACAAAGCCATGGGTCAACTTGGGCCCTCCCTCCAGGTGTTTTGGACTCCAACTCCCATAACGTGGGTATGCAGATGATCCCTAAATTGGCTTGAGTGTCCAGTTCCAAGAGGACAAAGCCATGGGTCAACTTGGGCCCTCCCTCCAGGTGTTTTGGACTCCAACTCCCATAACGTGGGTATGCAGATGATCCCTAAATTGGCTTGAGTGTCCAGTTCCAAGAGGACAAAGCCATGGGTCAACTTGGGCCCTCCCTCCAGGTGTTTTGGACTCCAACTCCCATAACGTGGGTATGCAGATGATCCCTAAATTGGCTTGAGTGTCCAGTTCCAAGAGGACAAAGCCATGGGTCAACTTGGGCCCTCCCTCCAGGTGTTTTGGACTCCAACTCCCATAACGTGGGTATGCAGATGATCCCTAAATTGGCTTGAGTGTCCAGTTCCAAGAGGACAAAGCCATGGGTCAACTTGGGCCCTCCCTCCAGGTGTTTTGGACTCCAACTCCCATAACGTGGGTATGCAGATGATCCCTAAATTGGCTTGAGTGTCCAGTTCCAAGAGGACAAAGCCATGGGTCAACTTGGGCCCTCCCTCCAGGTGTTTTGGACTCCAACTCCCATAACGTGGGTATGCAGATGATCCCTAAATTGGCTTGAGTGTCCAGTTCCAAGAGGACAAAGCCATGGGTCAACTTGGGCCCTCCCTCCAGGTGTTTTGGACTCCAACTCCCATAACGTGGGTATGCAGATGATCCCTAAATTGGCTTGAGTGTCCAGTTCCAAGAGGACAAAGCCATGGGTCAACTTGGGCCCTCCCTCCAGGTGTTTTGGACTCCAACTCCCATAACGTGGGTATGCAGATGATCCCTAAATTGGCTTGAGTGTCCAGTTCCAAGAGGACAAAGCCATGGGTCAACTTGGGCCCTCCCTCCAGGTGTTTTGGACTCCAACTCCCATAACGTGGGTATGCAGATGATCCCTAAATTGGCTTGAGTGTCCAGTTCCAAGAGGACAAAGCCATGGGTCAACTTGGGCCCTCCCTCCAGGTGTTTTGGACTCCAACTCCCATAACGTGGGTATGCAGATGATCCCTAAATTGGCTTGAGTGTCCAGTTCCAAGAGGACAAAGCCATGGGTCAACTTGGGCCCTCCCTCCAGGTGTTTTGGACTCCAACTCCCATAACGTGGGTATGCAGATGATCCCTAAATTGGCTTGAGTGTCCAGTTCCAAGAGGACAAAGCCATGGGTCAACTTGGGCCCTCCCTCCAGGTGTTTTGGACTCCAACTCCCATAACGTGGGTATGCAGATGATCCCTAAATTGGCTTGAGTGTCCAGTTCCAAGAGGACAAAGCCATGGGTCAACTTGGGCCCTCCCTCCAGGTGTTTTGGACTCCAACTCCCATAACGTGGGTATGCAGATGATCCCTAAATTGGCTTGAGTGTCCAGTTCCAAGAGGACAAAGCCATGGGTCAACTTGGGCCCTCCCTCCAGGTGTTTTGGACTCCAACTCCCATAACGTGGGTATGCAGATGATCCCTTGATTGAGTGTCCAGTTCCAAGAGGACAAAGGCATGGGCCAACTTGGGCCCTCCCTCCAGGTGTTTTGGACTCCAACTCCCATAACGTGGGTATGCAGATGATCCCTTGATGGACTGAAGTGTCCAGTTCCAAGAGGACAAAGGCATGGGCCAACTTGGGCCCTCCCTCCAGGTGTTTTGGACTCCAACTCCCATAACGTGGGTATGCAGATGATCCCTAAATTGGCTTGAGTGTCCAGTTCCAAGAGGACAAAGACATGGGTCAACTTGGGCCCTCCCTCCAGGTGTTTTGGACTCCGACTCCCACAACGTGGGTATGCAGATGATCCCATGATTGACTTAAGTGTCCAGTTCCAAGAGGACAAAGACATGGGCCAACTTCAGCCCAGGTGTTTTGGACTTCAACCCCCACAATTCCTGAATTGAAGTCCAAAACACCTGGAGGGAGGGCCGAAGTTGGCCCAGGCCTGGCTTGGGTGTCCACCTGCCCGGAAGGGTCTCTTGTGCCCACCTGAGAAGCCCAGGGCGCAGTGCTCCCAGTACCAGCGCTGGTCGGTGATGGTGGCGAGGGTGGCGTTGAGGGCCAGGTGGAGGAGACCCCCCAGGAGGGCCAGGGCCAGCAGGGCCACCCCTGCCCGGAGGCTGCCGGCCTCCTTCTCCAGGCGGCGGCCCAGCCAGAAGAGGGCGGTCATGTTGAGGGCCAGGTGCCCCAAGCTCAGGTGGTGGAGGGGGGCCAGGAGCAGGCGCTCCCACTGACCGCCCTCCCACACGGCCCGCAGGCTGAGGCAGGCCCCGCCCGGGGGCCGCAGGGGCCACAGGTAGAGGGCCACGTTCAGGGCCCCCAGGCCCAGCGTGGCCCAGGGCACCATCCCCACCCAAGGCTGCCCAGGCAGGCAGTCCACTGTGACCTCACCTGCCAGGCTGACCACTGACCTCATGAGAGCCAAGGCTCAGGGCAGGGTCAGCATCATCATCATCATCATCATCATCCTGAAAGTCCAGAACAAGACAGGGCAGGAAGGCACCATTCTGTCCCTCCCAACACATGGCCCTCCTATGCACAATCATCGTAATCACAATCATAACAGAATCCTAGAACTAGAAGAGACACACAGAGGTCAACCAAACTGACCTCCTTCTGCCAGGCAGGGCTTGCCATCCAGTCCCTCCCAACAGATAGCCATCCAGCCTCTCCTTCATAATGATAATAATAATAATAATAATAATAATAATAATAATAATAATAATAATAGGATCCTAAAATGGAAGGGACCCCCAAAGGCCAGACAAGAAGACACACCCCCAGTCTGACCCCCTACTAATCAGGATCATAATAGAATCCTAGAGCTAGAAGAGACACCCAGAGGTCATCCAATCTGACCTCCTTCTGCCAGGCAGGGCTTGCCATCCAGTCCCTCCCAACAGATAGCCATCCAGCCTCTCCTTCATAATAATAATAATAATAATAATAATAATAATAATAATAATAATAATAATAATAGAATGCTAGAGTGGAAGGGACCCCCAAAGGCTATCCAGTCTGACCTACTAATCAGGGTTTACCATTCAATCCCTCCCAACAGATAACCATCAAACCTCTGCTTAATAATAATAATAATAATAATAATAATAATAATAACAATAATAATAATAATAGAATGCTAGAGTGGAAGGGGCTCCCAAAGGCTATCCAGTCTGACCTCCTATTGGGGCTTACCATTCAGTCCCTCCCAACAGATAGCCACCCAGCCTGTGCTTAATAATAATAACAGCAACAATATTGATAGTAATAATAATAATAGAATTCTAGAGTGGAAGGGG